CGATACTAGGGTGACCCGCGCGTCAGTGTCGCCCGTGGAACCGCGCGCCCGCCGGGCTGGCCAGGCCGGGTTCTCTAGCCGCGCGGGTCTGCGCCGAATCCCCACTCGCTCTACCGCTCACTTGTTAGCGGGGCGGTGGGCGCACTAAGAGGACTTGCCCGGGGGTGACAGGCCGGGGAGAGTGGGCCGGGGCGCCGTTTGCTGCGCCGTTGGCACAGGCGCGCCGGTGTCCACGGCAACACGCGCGCCCCGCGCCGGGCACTGCTCTCCGCGCTCAGAACTGCCCGAGGCCCAGTTTCCCTCCGGCCGCGGAGCCCGTGGCCCCTCGTAGGACGAGAGGCCCCGTGGAGCAGGAGGGTGCACGCATCCCCTACCCGCTTGTTCTGGGAAGTTGGGGGGTGGGGCCGCCCGCAGGGAGCAGCCCCTGGGCTGGGCGCGGAGGCACCAGGAGAACTCCGGCGGTCTCGGTTACCAGAACCAGGGGCAGGCGCGGGGTCTGGGTGCGCGCGATCTGGCGGGCGCTGGGGTGCCGGCGGGCCTCACGGGAGGCGCTCGGTGGGGAGTTGGGGAGAAGGGAATACGGTCCAAGTGGGCGCAAGGACACGGCTCACGCGCGCAGGGGTGGGTAGCAAAGACCGCACAGCCAGCGCCCACGCGGGTGCGCGAACCGTCGTGCGGAGGGTGGGCGCGGTCCACTCGCTGTCCTCGCGGAGTAGGCGTCAAATTCGTTCACCCGGATCTGAGCTGCACTGGAGCGCGCGAGTCGCGGGCTCGCTGCGAGGTGGGGGACTCGCTGCAGGCAGGGAGCCTGATTTAGCCACAAACAAAACAAAGAAAAACGAAAGTTTATGCACCATGTACAAAACATATGCACAGACACTATTATATATTAGCATACAAATACATATTTTATGTAAATATGTTTACGCATAAATGTATTTACGTGTAAATATAAATACACAGAACATAGGCCGGCCAGTTAAATGTAAATTTCAGATAAGCGGGTAATTTTTTAGTATACGTCCCATGCAGTATTGGGGAACATATATTTACTAAAAACGATTCGTTGTTTATCTGTAATTCAAATGTAAGTGCGTGTCCTGCGTTTTATTTGGCAGCCCCGGCTGGAGGGAGGCACCGCGGAAATCCCGGGTCGCAAGAAGCGGGGAGGCGCCCGGAGAGCGAACTACAAGCCCCACAATGCCCCGCGGGTTCCCGGGCCCTGATAGGCTGTGGCGCGCTTCCCGCTCTCCGTCACTTCCGGGCGCGGGCTGGCGGTTGCGGCGACTCCGAGTGCTCTGCAGCGCGGGGTCCGGCGCGCCGGGCGGCTTCGCCATGAACTTCTCCGAGGTGTTCAAGCTCTCCAACCAGCTCTGCAAGTTCTCCCCGGACGGCAAGTACCTGGTGAGCGGCCGCAGGGCCCTGGCCGAGGTCGGGTCCTCCGTGGGGATCCCGGATAGGGGAGCGGAGGGGGCCGCGGGGCCCCGGGGGAAGGCAGCTTGGGGGTCGGCAGGGGCGGGATGCGGGCAGGGGACCCAGACGGGTGGCCTGGGCAATAGCCTTGGGCACGGGACCCGGACGGGTGGCCTGGGCGCAGGACCTGGGCAGGTGCCGCCTCCCGCACCTGGGTTTCCACCTGCCGCGGGCGGATGGAAGCAGCGCTTTCTGTACACACAGGAGACAGCGGCTGCTGGTGGTTATTTTGCCACAGAAAAAGCAAGCACATAATCGGTCTTCTGTGAAGGGGGCAGGGGCAGCTGCTGTGACACCCTTCCCAGCCCTCTTTGCTGGTGCCGCTAACTAGCGTTCCGTGTCCCGGCGAAGAGCGCTGTCTGCACCGCTGGGCCGGGAGCCGGTCATTCCAGGGGTGCAGAGTGGTGAGCTGCCCCGTGCATGAGGCCTAGGGCCGGGCGACCAGCAGCCCCGAGGACCGGGGAACAGATCACTCAGACACAGTCGGACGTGCAGGAGAGGCCTCAGGCGCCCTGGCTCTAGTGGCCAGAGCTGCCTCCCTCCATCGCCTGCCTGTTGGGCCTTTACTGGAATTCCTCCCTTTAGATGCCATCAGCAGGGTGAGTGATCTCGGGAGGACACACGCGTCTACACTGTCCTCTAGGCGAGGGCATCCAGGGGTTAAGCATAAGGATTCCAGTAAACTCCCCCGGGGTCTGCACGCCTCTGCAGGTGCACAGACTTGTTGGAAAGGTCAAGGATAGGGGCGCCGCCTTCGACACCCCCCCAGGTCTCCCCTGAGTCGGAATTCCGATGCACAGGGCAGGTGCCTTCCACACACTCCCTTTTACGGGCATGTCCTCCCTGCCACTTCCCAACCAAGCCTCTTGTGCGCCCCAGCAGCTCAGGTTTTGAAAGATGCCAGTAAGACCAGGGTGTGACCTCAGAATCGGGGGTGGGGGTCAGGAGGTAGTGTCATTGGAAAGCCATTAAGAGAAAGGGTCGTGCCTTCTAAACAGTGGTTTTAGTTCCATTTACCCTCATGGCTCTCTTTCGGTTGGAGCTGTTTTTAACATCCCTTTATTCAAGGTCTCTGAAGACATTGCATGGTTTCCTTCTTTACGGAGGTTTTATTCAAAGTCACAGAAAATAGCGTTCAACTACCCTAACCGGTTTGGCTCAGTGGATAAAGCGTCGGCCTGCAGACTCAAGGGTCCCACGTTCGATTCTGGTCAAGGGCATGTACCTCGGTTGCAGGCACATCCCCAGTAGGGGATGTGTAGGAGGCAGCTGATCGCTCCAGAAACCTGGGTACATTTTTCAAAGTGCCCCCTACTCCCACAAATTAGTTTTTTTTTAAAATCATTTATGGAAATTCCAGTGAGTTATAAAGAGGAAAATTATATTTCCTTGCCTAATTTTGCTACTTCTTTGACTTTTACACTCTGGTTGAGTATGATGAGACACTTGAAAGTCATGTTAGTGGAATCCTGTTCTTCAAACTCTATCTTAGCCCTGGCCAGTGTGGGTCAGTTGGTTGGCGTGGTTCTGTGCACAGCAAGGTTGCTGTTCGATTCCTGGTCAGGGCACATGCCTGGGTTTTGGGCTGGATTCCCCTTAGGGGTGTGCAGGAGGCAGCCCATCCATGTTCCTCTCTCACATCGACGTTTCTCTCTCTCTCCTCCCTTCATTTCTCTCTAAAAAGAAAGAAAAACCCATTAAAAATCTTAAAAAAACCCAGCAACCCTCTATCTTAAATACTGGCGAAGGTTAGGTCCATGCTGCCATTTTTAATATCTTGCAACAGATTTAATACGATTTTTCCCAAGAGTTGGTACAGATATTCCACCTCCTAGGGAATTCATTGTAACTGACACAGTATTCAAAGCTACAGCGTGAAAAAGTGAGCACTGTGACACATATTTGTTCTAATCTGCAATAGCCCACCTCCTCCCTTTTTATTTTTAAATATATATTTTTATTGATTTCAGAGCGACATGAAGAGAGAGGGAGAGAGAGAGAGAAACATCAACGATGAGAGAGAATCATGGATCGGCTGCCTCCTGCACGCCCCCTGCTGGGGATCGGGCCCGAAAACCAGGCAGGTACCCTTGGCCAGAATCAAACCTGAGACCCTTGAGTCCGCAGGCCAACACTGTATCCACTGAGCGAAGCCAGCTAGGGTCCTCCTCCCTTTTTTACGGAAAACGCGTGTGGCTTTTTTTTCTTAATGGATGTTCATAAAACACAAACCAGTATCTAGTTTGGCCTTGATAAGTACAAAAAGGAAGTAATTAGCAATTAGAAATGGGTTCCTGACTTTTACACTGTCATGTCCTCTACAGTCAGCAAAGGATACTCAAACAGAAAGCATTTCTTAGATACGGATGCTGACATGACGTAGAGACTGTATCTTTCAGGAAGCAGTATTGACGCGCACGCAGTTTTATAGTCAGGACCGGGAGCCAGTGCCCTCCTTACTGTCACCACGGCCCCCCACCTCCCGTCATTTCTGGTCCCCACACGTGTGGGCTTCCCCCCACCAAGCACTTCCGTGGCACCGGCTGGCCTGGCCGTCCTGCCACTTAACTCGGTTCTGCCCTTTCTCCCCGGAGGCAGCCTCAGTCCCAAGGTGAAGGGCTCAGTCCCGCGGGACAGACACCAGGCGGGGGCAGTAGTGCCCAGGGGACCCACAGCTCCTTTCTGACTCGGTTGCAGTGGGAGGTCCCACCACCCCTTCCACGGGTTCGATGCATTCGCTGAAGCAGCTCACAGGACTCGGGGAAACACTGGCTTCCTCACCAGCTCCTTAAAGGCTGTGGTAATGGACATGGGTGGCCAGCCCGCTGAGGAAGGCATGGGGCGCTGTGGGAGGGGCCCGGTGCAGGAGCTCTGACCCCGTGGACCGGGTGCCACCCTCCCCCGTGATGTGTTCTCCCACCCGGAGGCTCTGATCTGTCCTTCACTCCGTTTGCAGCCCTTCTCCCTCCCCAGGGAATGGGGAATGGGGTGGGGGCGGAAATTCCAAACTTCTGATGACCTGGTCTCTCTTGTGACCAGCCCTCATTCAGGGGCCATCCAGGAGGCCCCCTCCCGAGTCCCCTGGTAGAACAGAAGAGGCCCCTGTCGCCCAGGGAGCTACAAGGGTCCCAGGAACACTGCCGGGACCTGGGGGCAGACGGGATAGCTCCTGCTGGGCTCGATCCCCAGTGTGGAGCGTGCAGGAGGCAGCCGACCCATGATCCTCTGTCATCATTGATGTTCCTTTCCCTCCTGCTCCCTTCCTCTCTGAAATCAATAAAAAAAAAAAATACATATTATAAAAGAAATAGGAGAGGAGCAGATGATTACTTCAGTAGAGAGTGTTAAAATAATACTTTATGCTGAAATGTAATGGTTTTAACATCTGGTTTGTATATTTCAACTCTATCTTCTTATTGACTCATTTTCACAATGGGCCGTGTACTTGGTGGTAAACCTGGAACCTTCTAGATAGAAAACCTGTCAGAGAGGAGAGAGGCCGCAGGTTTCCCCACGTGGGTGCCCCTCCGGGGAACGCCCCCCAGAGCAGGACGTCAGCGCCTCTTTCCCGTGTCTAGGCCTCCTGCGTGCAGTACCGCCTGGTGGTCCGGGAGGTGGGCAGCCTTCAGATCCTCCAGCTGTACAGCTGCCTGGACCAGATCCAGCACGTCGAGTGGTCAGCCGACTCCCTCTTCATCCTGTGCGCCATGTACAAGCGGGGGCTGGTGCAGGTACGGGGCTGGACGCCGTCCCGGGTGAGCCCTGCAGACCCCTTGCTGCCCTCTGCCCTTCTGGCTTGAGAAAAAGGCCCCTCAAAGCCGCTCCCTGTGAAAACTGGTAGTTCTCTCAGTTCAAGTCCTTCCAAATGGGAAACACTTCAATATTCTTTTTGTTGTTGTTGTTGAAGATTTATCTTTATTGTTGAAAGTACTGCAGATGTCCCCTTTGTTTGCTGTTTTCCCATTGACCTTGCCACCCCGCCCCGCCCCTCCCCTCCCCTCCCTGCACGTAAATGTTCCTCACCTGGAACCGAATAGCCCTTGGGCCGCAGGCAGAGCGTGCAGACCAGGGCGGGCAGCTGGGGCGTGGGCATTTGGGAAGCCCTGAGACGAGGCTTTGTTTGGGAGCTTGGCCAGTGCAGCATTAATGACCCCTCCCTTCACCCCCAGAAGGGTGGGGACTGGTGGTGTGCCCGCTGGCCCAGCGTAGAGAGAGGGGGCACAGCTTCCCGTGCCTGGACCGCAGTGGTTTTAGGGTCAGTGCTGCCCTGGTTGGTTTTGATCCGCGTCTCTCCTGGGCCAGGTGTGGTCGCTGGAGCAGCCCGAGTGGCACTGCAGGATTGACGAGGGCTCCGCGGGGCTGGTGGCCTCCTGCTGGAGCCCCGACGGGCGCCACATCCTCAACACCACCGAGTTCCACGTGAGTGGCCCCTGCCCCCACAGTGCGCTCGGACATGAGCCCTGAACGCCCTTGGGGACTTTGGGGGGTTATTTATGTCAGTCATCAGAGCACAGCAAGCCCCTAAGTGGTGATATTTAATCTTCTTGCCCAGTTTTAAAGGAAAATGAACACATTTAAAAAAAGTAAACCCTAAGTCACATTTTAAGGCTTTAAACAGTTCCTGGAACTTAGCAATAGAGAATGTGCATCAGTATAAACTGATTTACCTCTTTCCGAGGGGGTGTCTGACGTGGGGGTGTCGGTGACCGCGTCGTTGGTTTGTTCTTCGAACACCCGCTGGCAGTTCTGCCCGGCGGGGCCGAGGCTGAGTAAATGCGAGAGCTCAGCGGGGCCTCCCCTCCCAGGCGCGTCCGGTGAGGGCCCGGCCTGTGCCGGGTGCCCGAGGTCTGCGTGCATTTTGGAGACAGAAAGGTGCGCAGATCCTGCTCCTGCGCTTTTCTGAGGCGCCTTAGGCCCCGGCGTGTGGGCCTGACCCCGAGTGCGGTCGGCGGGCAGGGACGCACGTGGGGCGGGCACACTGATTCCCAGCCAACCTCGGGGTTCCCCCTCTGGGCAGACCCTCTGTCCAGCTGTGAGGAGCTGCTTCGGGCCGCTCTGGCTTCGTGGATTTGTCAGTCAGACCCTGGGACCTGGGGCCTGCTGCTGTGATGTCGGAAATCGGGGATCCCCTTCCCCACTGGGTGCTGGGGGGGGGTCCTTACGATACCTCGAGGAACAGAGTTTTCTAAGACTCGCATGGAGGTGAGTGATTTTTTATTTGTGCGGAAATAAATCCAAAGTCCGGCTCCAGTCCTGGGGGAAGTGTAGCTGCAGGCAAGGCCAGTGTCCCCCTTCCGCCCCGTGTCGCAGCCGGTCCAGGCATGAGCGGCTCCAGTCCCTCAGCGCAGCGTGGGGTCCACATGGCCGTGAGCCGCGTGGGGAGATGCCAGGAGCGGAGCGAGGGAGCCCGGCCTCCAGGAGCCGAGGGAGCGAACGCCTCTGCTCGGGTTAATGTCCCAGGTTCCGTGCCCTCAGTCGCCGCGCCCATTCTGGCCAGTGACCTGCTCCCAGCCGTGACTGACAAGCGGGTACCTTCCCGGCATCGCCAGCTTTACCGGGCAGGCGTCCGTGTCCCCGTCCAGTCCCTCCGCCCAGCCACCTGCAGGGCGGGACCGCGGCTCCCGGGGGAGCTCACCCGCAGCGTCCTGGCGAAGCTGCCGGGACGACCTGCTGTCAGAGTGGCATTCGCTCTGCTCCTCCCTGTTACTGACTCGCCAGTGAGACGGGCAGCGGGGTGAGGCGGGTAGCACGGCTCCTATCTCGGCCCCGGACACGCTGACACGTTAGAGGTGCTTGTCTCCGGTGTCAGACGTGATCCCTGGAGCTCTCCGTGTTGCCGCGGGCACAGTCCTCGCACTCAGCTCCCT